TCATTGCAGAGTCTTAACTCTTACAACGAGCTTGCCAATGGAGAACACATGATGAAAGTGGACGATTGTGAAAGAATATCAGTAAGAGCAGTGAGTGAGAGAAGTTAGACTTTAATTAAAGAATAATATGTTTCTTGTTTTAGATAAAAATAAAAAAAAATAATAACAATAAAACAAATCCACACGTATGACACTCGGGTTTTCCATTTGTTGCAAGCTTTCACTTCCATACGATCAATTGTTTGAAGCTGAATAAATAGTAGCCAACAATTAAAGGGAAAAAAAATTTAAATTCCAATGACCAACAATACTTCTAACCGAGCTAAACCCTTGAATGAAAAAAATCTTAAAAGAAAAATTTGTTCTGATTACATAAGTTTTATATCGAGGAGTGAAGTAGCTTGGACTTGTTCCATCGGTGCAAAACCTTGCCAAGGACGTCGTAGAATGCAATCTCCGCTTCCAATGGTGTCAATTGTACGGACATAAAGCCTTGTCCATCATAGAAGAAGTTGACTCCATGCCCGTTTAATCCTTTTATGTCTCCCCTCCATGCCTTTGACCCTGCTCCACTGGTTAGAAATTGTATTGGGCTGCAAAATGTACAACAATATTAATGATATGTACTTTTTGTTGATAATAACATTTTACCAATCGAAGATAAAAGCCGAAAAAACAAAAAAAAAAATGTGTATTTGATATTTTGCATTGCCATTCGCCAGCGAAAATATTAGGCACTACTAGTAACGAATAAAAACTCAAAACATTATGATATATTTGCACTAAAATTTACCTGCTTGTGTCGCTAACATGTTCAAGGCAATGGTCATGTCCATTCATGTAAAAATCAACATTGTTGGCCTGTAATTTACGTAAAAATTTAGACATTGTGTAATTGAGTGCAGAAAATACAAAACTGGAGTAGCCAGTTGATAAAAGTTATGTTAATGTGCTCTGTAAGTTATACCTTTAGGATTGGGAGAAGTTGCTCCATCAGCTCCTTCGTGTCACCGTGATGCCCCACGCTTCGAATAGCGTGGTGACCAACAACAATCTTCCACGTGGCGGAAGATTCGCTCAATGCTAATTCTACATCCTGTTATAACTTCTGAGATTAGTACAAATGCTGATATTGGATTTCATTCTCAGTAAACTTCTCAAGGTTACTTCTAAATATAAGCTTAGAAAAACAGAGGACTAATATAATAGATAAGGTTAATTTAGTTCCAACAACAGAAAAAAAAAAGAAAAAAGTAATAGATAAGTTCATTATGGCCAATCTACCTTTAATAGGCTCGAAATATAAGCTTTCCGCGGCGAAATACCCCTCCAATCGTATGAATGACCCTCCGGGTCCGAAAAATACATGTCGACTAAAGGGGTAGTGTCCACAAAGAAAATCTCTGCCAAGCCTATACCAAAGGGAAAACAGAGGACTTAGTTGTATATAAATTTATAATTTTATATTTTGTGTATCATAACTAATTAAATGACAACAATCAAGCTTGAAACATAGAAAAACACATACAGCTTACCAGCATTTACCACAAAAGATCTCAAGCAGAGCCATCTGCTATCAACTTTCCTCAGGAATGGGCTCAGTTGGGCCTCTGCATCGCCCCTGTAGTCGTGGTTGCCCAGCACTGCTTGAAATTGGATTTTCAAAAGTAATCGTTACAAAAAATTTCAATTAAAAAAATAATACAAATATGACAAACCTCGGAAAAATCGGAAACTGCGAATAGGAATCTTTCACAAATAGGATCAAAGCATGATTAAAAAATAATTAAATGCAAACGTAAAAGAGGTTATATGAGAACTCACCACTGTACCACTGCTTTTGCAGGCTGTTTGCAGTGTAGATTTTGGAAAATGACTCCTCAAAAGTTGGGTCCTGTTCACTGGTTAATCCATTGTCATAAAAATTGTCTCCAGTCGAAACTACAAAATCGATGTCCAGTTTTTCGCCAACCTTTCCCATCTGCAACAAAATTTGAAAAAAAAAAAAAAAAAAAAAAACAGCATTGTCAAAGACTAAGCCCATAATAAAGTACAGAAGGAAACTTTTTCCTATAGCTTTTTACGAAAATTATGCTGTCCAAATACATAAATTTAGAAAAAAAACTAAGGAAAAAACTTTGTAAACTTATGAGTTTGTATTTGTGTAATATAAAATATAAACCTGAAAAGCGACTTCGGATTGGTTGAAACTGCCCCTTCGACCCCAATCCCCGATGACCAGAAAGCTCAGAGATCCGTCGTCTTTGGCGGCTTGATTGAACTTTTGAAGCTCTGCAGACAAAAGCATTCCAACCATTCCAAAGTAAACAAGAAAGAGAGCGTAAAGAGACATAACTCTCTTGTAAGGAACTTCCATCGCCTATTCTTTTTGTGGCTTGAAAGAAAAACGAAGAACAACTATGAGGCCAAAGACGAGAATTGAGTGCTAATCAAATATGACTAAGAAGTAAAGAAAAAGAAAAGTGTACGGGATAAATGAAATATAAAAAAAACGTTATTTTTTTTTTCTTTTTTGGCTGAGTACTATAAGAATAGCAACGGGGTTCTTTATACATGCGCAGCCCAGAAGGGGAGTTTTGAAAAGGATGTTTCTTCTGTTACTAATAAAATACGTAATCCACGTTGTGGAAACATGGTATTGGTGTTGGTGATATCCAACTTGGAGAACTCGGTGACGCGAGTGTTTTGATTAGGTGAAACTGATGATTTTGTAAACTTCTGTTCCTTTTTTTTTTTTTTTTTTTTTTTTTGAGAATCAATTGTCTCTTATCTTGGTAAATACTAAACAACATTAAATTCAATTCCCTTATTTCCAATTCTTTTGAGGTCCGTGACACTTCGACGTTCAGAATTTCATAAACACAATGCAATTGTCAAGTCTTCAATATATATATATATACTGCTAGTGTTAATTGAGTTTGATTATTATTAATTGACGTGCTAATTTTTTCATTATATGATTATAATATTGTATTTTTATTTTTTAAAAACAAAAATTTTCTTTTACAATTATAAAAAATTAGAAATTTATATCAAAATAGATATGATATTGAGAACAGCATTGGAGTATAAAATAAAAAAACTTAAATAATATCGTTTTTGGAGATGGTCAAAGTATTGTTTGAAACGTACTTTGATAGAAGCTCAGTTGATACCGTTTTGCATTTTTTTTTTTTTTCATTGACAGATATTTTTAGAATTTTTCGTCAAGTTTACTATTATAGGCGTAGTTGTACTCATTATACTATTTTACCATATTAACTATTAATCTATTGCCGCTCATCATAAAATATAATTTAAAGAAAAAAAAAACTAATTACTTCCTATGAAACTATATGCTACTTGAAAGTTTGCTCATAATTTTGATAGCCCATAGTTTTTTCATTTAGTTATTTTCCACACGAGGTTTGCTAAGTTGGCCACACAGGGAGAAATGACGAATGCATAACCAATTGAGTAGTGGAAACTGATTATTTATTAATATATTCAACCAATATATCATCCACAGAAACTATATCCGAATATACCAAGGCATAACTCTTCCTATTAATAGAATATTCGGTGGTTCTTCGGCATAAAAAATAATGAAGAATAGAATATTCGATGCTTCTTCGCCCCTGGATCCCAACCTGATTCCGTCTCTTCTTTATTGAGGCTTTTGTTTTTGTTTTTTTGTTTTTAGAGTGTGTGGTAGGGTGTGTCAAATCAATTTATCAGTCTGGGTGAAATTGTTTGCACCCTCACATTAAATATCGTGTTGAGAATAGTGTCTTAAAAACATAAGATGTGATAATATATTTATTATTTATTTAATAAAAAAGTTTATTTATTATTTTATGTGCATATATTTATGAATATTTTATAAATATCAATGAAAATTATATAATTATTTATGTGACCTTAAACATTATATATAAGTGTTATATACGAGAAAATAATATTTAAGGATAATAATAAAAAATGATGTTCGTAATGAATTTAATTAAAGTTTGAAATCTTTAATTAAAACATTATTAATACATGTAATTCCCATTTAGAATGAAACGGTGTTATCCGCACTGTTAATATGACGAGATATTGAATGTGTATTTCGCATAATGAGATCATGTGGATCAAAGACACATACACAATATAAATTTCTAATAATTTCCGTTAAGTATAGAAATTCTAATTGAGTCTACCGATAGTTATATATATAATGATCTTAATCCTGAGTTTTTAGCAGACTCCTATTTATGGATTTGTGTCTTTTGATTTACTTGGTACGAATTCTGAGATCCTGAATCCTATTCCTTATATTTTGGAGACATTATGAAATAAGTAGCCGGAAATGTTATTATACGAGATAGAATCTATTCATTTTTAAGAAAGAAGTAGATAAATAATTCTCATGAGGGTTGATTCGGTACTTGTACCAGTAGAAGCTCTGATTCATGAATGTGTTTTATGAATCACTGTCCATTAGAGAATCAATGATACTCAAGGATAAAGATGTAATTAGAGAGGTTAACGGATTTCACATAACTCTAATTATAAATTAGTTATGGATGATTGATCTATATGCAGTGACTACATCACATGGACACTTCATGGTTTAGAAGTAATTTATATCTATAATTACGAGAATGCAATTCTAAGTTTATAGTGGAATAACTATTAGAATTAATAAGATTAATTAATTAATTAAAGTGTTTAATTAATTATTAATTTTATTGGAGCTCGAAATTATAGGTCTATGAGTCCTCGCGTCATCCTTGTAATTTTACAATACACTTAAGGGCAAAATGGAAAATTTAGAATTACAGAATTCTAAAATTAAACACTCAAGGATAATTAATTGAGAATTAATTATTATTTAAATAATGTAATTATTTAAATTTAAATTTAAATTTTAGATCACTTATGTGAAGGTGTTCACATTGTGTGAACGCAAGGCACAGTGTGAACACATAGTGTGAACACATCTAGAATTATCCATTTAAACTTATTTGATAAGTTGTTCCATTTGAAATTCAAAATAATTTAAGTTTGACTTAAATTGGATTTTTAATTTGAGTCAAAATTGGACTGCAGGATAAATGATAATTTTCTCTTCCTTCCCTATCTGATTTTGGCGCCTACCACAGGGTATTTCTCCAAATATTCCACGTCGTGCATGCGTTAGTTTTTGTGGAAATTATTGAGTGTTTTTATTAACCCGTTTTGTTTCAGGTGTGCTCACACACACACGTCTTTATAGATTTAAGGAATTGACGAGGAATGCTCGGGTTTTCTAAACAAAGCATTGGAGTGAGGATTGTTCGAGATCAAAGAACTCAAGTTATCATCCTAATCAGTTGCTAGGTATAATTCCTTATCCGGTTCTTGGTAAATAAATTAATGTTCATTTATTCGTGCATAAATTAATATAGTCTATAGAGTATCTCAAAGGTTTTATGAAAATATTTTTTATACACTAGCCCCAAACTCAAACATTTGCTTGTCTTCAAGCAAAAGAAAAGAAAGAAAAAGAAAACACAAATCAAGTACTAAGACACAAACGAAAAAAAAAGTGTGAGTTTTGTATCGAGTCAACAACTGTGCATGTATCTCCAAAGCCATATAATGCTTTAAGCTCAAAAGAAATGCACACACTGAGATTATCTAGAATTTCAACATCAAGCATCAATTTCACTCCACTCAAGACTCTCAAAGTGTAAGTGTGCACAATCAATCTCAATCAACCAAATAAAATTCAGACAGACCTATATGCCAAGGAGACTATGAGTGATATCTTAATAAGAACAACCATAGGCCCATTTTTCGTGTCACTCTCCACTAATAAAGGTTGACTTGTCATTGAAGATCAAAAGGACTTTTGAGGGTTGTAATATATGGCTAGGGTAAAAGGTGGATGAGATTAGAATTTTTAGGCTCAAATCACCCTAGGCATGTATCACAACTCATGGATCTCACATGATTTCCAAGAAAAGAAAAAAATATATTTTACCAACTCTTCATTTCATCATACATTCACTTTCAATCGAACCCAAAAAGAAATAAAAACCACAAAAATTTGAGAAAGAAAGACCACACCCCCAAACTCAAAATCAACATTGTCCCTAATGTTGTAAAGAAATGGAAATGGTAACTCAATTCCTCATCCGATTAACTCTTATTATTTTTTTTCTTTACTATTTTTGTTTTTCTCTTTTTTTTTTCATTTTTTTTTGAACTGAGAATGAAAAACAACACAAGCCAATCCACTAATAATTTCCCAAACATAACCCACACTTGCCCTCAATCTTAGCATTTAATGCAATCATGCATAGTAGTGATGGGTTTAGGAAGTCAAAACACATTTGGTGGTTTGGATGTACAAACATGGGTGATGAATAAAATAAGCAATATGGCTCAAAGGGGGTAAATAAATGATGAATTTTCTTTTCAATGGTTAGCTTCAAAGGCCCAATCGATCCGAATTAAATTGCCTTAATCTTCTCTCCAATGATACTAAACTAACAATTTCGTCTCAAGTTTCACTCAAATGGGTTCTAGTGTTCATGAGATATCAAAGTCTACCTAATGCACATAAATGTTCTCCAAATGCTTAAAAGATCAAGTGATCATGATTCATGGTGCTCAAAAGTAAAGAATTAAGAGTGAATTTCAATCAATGCGAGTCAAGCACACAGAAATCTTAATGAAATACATTTCAAAAGACTTAAGAAAGCATTAAGTGATTATACTCATCATTATTATCTAGTCATTTCATCTCAACAAAACTCACAATTTATTCAAATAACCTAAAAGAAAGCGAGTAAAAACATGGCCAAAAGAACATAACTCAATGGAGACAAGTCATAACTGTTGGTCTCCGAATCGAATTCGGATGCGGAAGCGTGGTGCGGGGAAGGGAGGCGGATTGTGTATAACAAAAATTTTTATAAAACTTTTGAGATACTCTATAGATTATATTAATTTATGTACGAATAAATTAATCTCATTAATTCATTTATTAACAACTCAATTAGGAAAAATACCTGGAGGCCAACCCGGATGATAACTTGAGTTCTTTGACCTCGAACAATCCTTGCTCCAAAGCTTTGTGTTTAGAAAACCAATGTCTTCCACGTCAATTCTTAGAATCCACGAAGACGTGTGTGTGGGCACACATGAGATAAAATGGGTTACAATAAACACTCGAATTTCCACAAACACCAACGCATGCACGATGTGAAATTTTTGGAGAAAAATTTTTTCCTTCCTCTCTACAAAGAGAATTTCGGCCAGCCTTAACAATTAGGGCTGAAAAATTGTTTCAAAAATTGTCTCGCGTAATTTTCTATTATTCTCATATTTATAGAGTAGAAGTCAAACTTCTAGAAGAAATCCAATCTCTATCTCCAAGATAAAGCTTATCAATTATCTCCTATTTGAATTTTTAACAAAATCTCCTCCTCTACTTTATCCTATTGTGGCCGACCATTCTTGGGATTTTCTCCCTTCTGTGTTGCGCCAACATGCAGATAGGGAAGAAAGAGAAATCATCCTTTATCTTGTAGTCTAATTTTAATTCAAATTCAAATTCGAATTTAAGTCAAACTTAAATTAATTTGAATTCTAAATTGAACAACTTATCAAATAAGTTTAAA